AGGAAAGGAAATTTGGGGCGAAAATGGAGAGATAAGACACCTGTGGGACATAGATAAGGTTTTTAATCTGTTGATGAGGATGTGTACAATAGTCTCAACTGTGCTGGACTGAGGTGTATATCATGCTGGGTAAAGTCTCTTCACAATCTATATGATGTACAGTGATTTAATGTATGAATAATTTTAAAAATTAATAAATTAATAAAGAATGTATCTCATAAATATGTTTAATTATGTGCCAATTTTTTAAAAAAGGTAGTGTATTTATATTGTATTGTGATTCCTGGGCTTAAAAAGTATCGAAATAGAAGACAAATGTTGAAAAAAAAATCTTAGGTGCTTACAATAACTGGTGAAGTTTACTTAAAATAACTTTTAGGACGGATGTGCCTATATAATTTGTAATACTACTGCATTTTATTTGTTGAGTTAAACGTGAAAATAGCAAAAATTGGGCCAGCAGTTAAGGTGCTATGTTTCAGGTAGCTGACTACATGATTCAAGTTCTGGACCCAGTGGCTTGAGAACATGTGAGGTACACGTACATATGTGCCCAAAATCCTGAGAGGAGAATCGAGGAAAAGGGATTGTGGTGTAGCCATCTTTCCTGTGGGGTGCCTTCTTAATTCCTTGATTATTGTACTGAGAGAAAAACACAAACATTTAAAAGCCGACTGCGCTATTAATATTAGGGTCAAATTAAGAATGCCCTGGGCCAGCTGGTGGCATGGTGGTAAGGCAGCTGGATTCCCACATGGCAGACTGTGTCGTTCAAGTCTTGGACCCGGTCACTTAAAAAAATATGGCAGGCATGCATGTGTGTACACATGCCCAAAATCCTGAGAATGGAAAATAAAGGATTTGTGGCATGGCCATCCTCCCTGGGAAGTGATCTCTTACTGTCCCCACCCCGTGTCTCTATCTCTAGTGAGTATATATACCTTATAGTAAAAACTTAGAAAAAAAGAATGCCCTATATTTACTTTAATGTTAAAATATAAAATTTAACATTGTAGTTGATTTTCTTTAATAAAAGTGCTACACTTTTTTTTAAAACTGCCAGAGGGTATGTATGTTCACCAGAGACAGAGAGAGATAAGAGAAAAAGAGAGAGATAGGAAGCACCCTAATAGGGCACGGTCACATCACAATCCTTTTTCCTCCATGTCTCCAACGTGTCAAGATTTTGGGCACGCACGCAAACATATTTCGTTTGTCTTTCAAGTCACCAAGGAGAGAGAGAGAGAGAGAAACAAAGGCAGTGAGAAGGAAAGTGAGAAATATCCCCCCAGCAGGGACGGCGACACTGCAATCCCTTCTCTTCTAGGGATCTTGGGCACACATGCACACACACCTGGCATGATTCTCAAGCCACCGGGTCCAGGACTTGGACAGCAGTGAGAGTTCAGTGACGTAATCATTATACCACCTGCTGGCCCCCAATAATACTCTTACAGGTTGAATATTATGAATTGATTAAGGGGCAATTCCTTAGCACAGTTAAGTGCTGCGCAGAGGAAGCTAGATCCCATGTGGCAAACCAGAGTTTAAGTCCCTGCCCCAGCAACTTGAAAAAACATGATAGATGTGTGTGTACATGCCCAGGATGCTGACGGGATGAAAAATAAGAAAAACGGATTGCAGCATGATAACGTACTACTGGGTGGTGCTTTCTCCCTCTTTCTCTTTCTGAAGCATTAAAAAAAAAAAGATTAGAGTCTGCTGGTGGTGTGGTGGTTAAGGAAGCTAGATCCCACATGGCTGACTACGCAGTTCAAGCCTTAGACCCAGAGGTTTGAAAAAACATACCAGGTACAAGTGTGCCCAAAATCTTGAGAAAAATGGAGGAGAAGGATTTGTGGTGTGGCCACATTGGGGTGACACTTTCTCATTCTCTCTCTAGCAAGCCCATGTGACCTATGGCAAATTAAAAACATTTTTTTGATTAAATATGTTTATTATAGATATGTTATTGTATTAGATATATTTTAGTTTGTTTAATCCTTCAGGTGTTTCCTTATTTTTAGGCAAAACATATAATTAAACAACATAGCAATAAATGCCCTCATTAAATGGTTTCACAAACATTACCTCTTTGGATAAATTCCTAGAAATAGGAGACTGTCAAAGAATATATTTTAAACTTTCTGCTTTCCTGAGATATTATAAGAATTTGTTTATTTATTTTTAATTTTTAAAAAAGATTTCTTTTGACTTTATTTATTTATTTATTTTAATTTGACCAGAGAGGGACAGAGTGAGAGAAAGAGAAAATGAGAAAGCAAGCTGCCAGGTCTGGGACTCAAACCATGGTTAACCATATGGGAGTCTAGCGCCCTTAACCATCACGTCATCTGCTGGCCCCATTATATGAACTTATAATACCCTCTTCCCCAACTCTTTCTTTCTTTCTTTCTTTTTTTTTGAGAAAGATTTTTGCTATAGGCACACACACTCTCCAGAGAGGCAGAAAGCAAGAACTGGGGGGTGGCCAAGCCGCAATCTCTTCTCCTTCATTCTCCTCTGGTATTTTGGGCACGCACGCACATTCAAGCCAGGCATGAATTTTAAGCCACCTGGTCTGGGACTTGAACCACAGCCAACTATGGGGAAGTCCAGCACCTTACCACTACACCACCTGCTGCCTACTCTTCCCCAACTCATAATGAAAACTCTGAACATACTGAGAATATAAAGACTATGTAGGGCTGGCCTGGTAGCACAATAGTTAAGTGCCATACGTATGGAGCTGGATCCTACTTGGCTGATGGTGATTCTAATCCCAGTCCCAGCAGCTTGAAAAATATACCAGCAGCATGTGTGTGAAATGCCCCAAATCCTGATGGGAAAAAGAAATGGAAGAACAAAGATTGATGCGTGAGCAAGTTCTCAAATGCATGCACTCTCTCTCTCCCTTTCTTTCTGGCAAGCACATGTACCCTCTGGCAACTGAAAAAAAAATAAAAATAAAAAAAGACAGTGTTAATGGCAATACTTCCAAAGTATGAAAAATTGAAATTTAAAAACAATTTATCTTACTCACTAAAATTTACCTGAAAGTAAATTAGTAAATTTGGTTTTCTCATAAAAGAGAGAACATTACTTTTATACAGATAACTAAAATCTGTTAGTGAAAAGAAATCCGTTTACTAGTACTGATCATAACATCTTTCCAGATAAATATGCCATAATTGTTATCATTTTAGTTTTATT